TCCATGGGCAGTGGATGGGGGATGGGATGGGGGGGGTCAGTGGGGGGTATGGGAGGATGGGAGGGAGAGGGAACTGGGATTGATATGTAAAATAAGATTGTTTCTAACTTAAATAAAATTTATAAAAAAAAATTCCTGAAAACTGAATTTGCTTCTATAAGGCTGGAATCTGCAAAACAGAAGTGGCCAAAATGCCACACTAGACAATTATAGCTGTTTTGTTGATTTTTTGTTGAGCAGGTGAAAGCCACGAATTCCTCTGGACTCAGGGAAATCAGCTTCCTAGAACTGCTTGCAGACTCTATCAGGACAGTCGCTAGGGCTCCTGAAAGAAAGTCTTCTAAAGGTCAGGGTTAACCTCCCAGAGTAACTGTGAGCTACAGGTACAACAGAGGGAAGAACATAGCAAGTCCTTCCATCCAGAATACTTAACGGTGACTTGCCTTCGGTTTTGAAGGACATTTTGGAAAAAGTCAAAACTACAGAGTAGAAAGCACGGCTACCAATTTCTATTTTTAAGCCACTTCTTGGCCCTTCCCTCCTCTAAATCATCACAAAAACACACCCAGGAGCTGTGGTGAGGCCAGCAAGTTAGATGCTGACTTGGCCAGGGCTCCACAGCTCACTTCACTAGTCCAGAGCTGTGAGAGAGGAGCTGTGTGAACTAATTTCTGTTCCAACCAAAGGGCTATCTTTTCCTAGGAACACTCTCCTAATACCATGACCTTGGAGGTGACATCCCAGGAATTCAGAGTACAGCTAAAGGAACCATAATGAACCCCGTGGCCATCGTTTAGGATTTCAAGCCAGAAATGGCTATATATATTCTTGTAAATCAGATAACACCAAATATCCCCACCCACACATTTGAAGCTCAAAATTTTGTAGGCAGTTTCTATACCAAACCTATTTCCACTTAATCTATTTTCTCTCAGTACTAGGTGATGGGGAAAGAGATCTGTGTAGGTGTGTTGTGACCTCATGCCTCAGACAGGAAGAGGGGCAGAGGTTACCCCACATTTAGCACAGCTCCAGGGAGAACATAAAACAGCCAGTAAATGCATCTGATAGAGAGTTCTCATTCTGTTCCCATCCTGTGCTCCCGGACCCTCAAATCTTTGACTGTCCACTTGGTTTCCTACCCCTACACCTTTGTCTTTGTCATCCTAAGCAATAGCACCAAATTCTCACTTCTTGTGCCAATTGAACAGATTGGCACAGTATTTCCAGAGAGCTATCTCAAAAAGGATGATGGGGTAGGCTCAGTGGTTAAGAGAAAGCACTGCTTCTGTAGAGGACCCGAGTTCTGTTCCCAGCACTCAGGTTGGGCAGCTTATAACTGCCTGTAACTCCCAACTCCAGAGGAATCTAATAACTCTAGCCTCCTAGGGCACCTACATTCATGTGCATATACTACCCTCTCCAATACACATAATTAGAACAACAACAGAAAGAATGCCAGAGAATGCAGAGGGATGTTCATGGAACTTTGGTTCTGCAGATGAGTAGTGACAATGGCTATATGACAATATGGTTGTATTTAATACCATGAATGTGCATTTACAGATGATTAAGATGACAAATTTTATGTTATGTGTGTTTAACACACACATACACACACTCAAAATCCACACAAACACACACACACACACAAAAAAACCTAAGAAGGAAACACAAAGAGAGAGAGAAAAAAAGGATTCTACCCTTACATCTGGAATCAATGGGATCAGGTCCTAAACTTCATTAGCAATGTCTGGGCGTGGAAGGTGCAGATATTGGCAAACACAAACCACACATCCAGAGTTTCAAAATCAAACCATCAAAATGAAACCAAATAATCCCTGGGCTGCATTTTGCTTGGACTTGCCTTGCCTGCATCTCTTTGCTTCTGACTGACATTGAAAGGGGGCACAAGGCAGAAGTAGTTCCAGAACCCTGAGGCCTTAAAGTATGAGCAAATTTAGGCTTCCACTAGGGTGGGAAGGAGCCAGAGAGAAGGGGCAACAGGGAACATTCCCTTCAAGACAAGCCCCCCTTCTGTGTGTGTGTGTGTGTGTATGTGTGTGTGTGTGTGTGTGTGTGAGAGAGAGAGAGAGAGAGAGAGAGAGAGAGACAGAGAGACAGAGAGAGACAGAGACAGAGACAGAGAGACAGAGACAGAGAGAGACAGAGAGAGAGAATGGCAGGCAGGCTCACAGCAGGCCTTCACAGCCTCTCATCCCTGTCCATACTTGGCTTATAGAGTGTCTGTCAAAAAGCATAGTGACACCAACTACCTTAGGCCTGAGATGAGAAACATGAGATCCAATTTCACATTTCCTCAAGCTTTGGTCTTGGGCATGATTAAGTATTGGTGGGAATGTGACTTAGACTGTAAACTGGCTGAGATCAGCTTTAGTGATCTGACACCCAGACTAAGGATATGAAGGGAAGAGGACATGGGCCTATAGGAGGTTCTGATGAGCTGGAGCCAGTGGAGGACAGTGAGAACCAGTGCTAGGTACTGAGTGTGAGTGTGAGTGTGAGGACAGTGGGAAAGAGTGTGGGTACTGAGTGTGAGTGTGAGGACAGTGGGAACGAGTGCTGGGTACTGAGGGTGAGTGTGAGGACAGTGAGAACAAGTGCTGGCTACTGAGTGTGAGTGTGAGTGTGAGGGCAGGGGGAAAGAGTGTGGGTACTGAGTGTGAGTGGGAGGACAGTGAGAACAAGTGCTGGGTACTGAGTGTGAGTGTGAGGACAGTGAGAATGAGTGCTGGGTACTGAGGGTGAGGGCGAGGACAGTGGGAACGAGTGCTGGGTACTGAGGGTGAGTGTGAGGACAGTGAGAACAAGTGCTGGCTACTGAGTGTGAGTGTGAGTGTGAGGGCAGGGGGAAAGAGTGTGGGTACTGAGTGTGAGTGGGAGGACAGTGAGAACAAGTGCTGGGTACTGAGTGTGAGTGTGAGGACAGTGAGAATGAGTGCTGGGTACTGAGGGTGAGGGCGAGGACAGTGGGAACGAGTGCTGGGTACTGAGGGTGAGTGTGAGGACAGTGAGAACAAGTGCTGGCTACTGAGTGTGAGTGTGAGTGTGAGGGCAGGGGGAAAGAGTGTGGGTACTGAGTGTGAGTGGGAGGACAGTGAGAACAAGTGCTGGGTACTGAGTGTGAGTGTGAGGACAGTGAGAATGAGTGCTGGGTACTGAGGGTGAGGGCGAGGACAGTGGGAACGAGTGCTGGGTACTGAGGGTGAGTGTGAGGACAGTGAGAACAAGTGCTGGCTACTGAGTGTGAGTGTGAGTGTGAGGGCAGGGGGAAAGAGTGTGGGTACTGAGTGTGAGTGGGAGGACAGTGAGAACAAGTGCTGGGTACTGAGTGTGAGTGTGAGGACAGTGAGAACAAGTGCTGGCTACTGAGTGTGAGTGTGAGTGTGAGTGTGAGGACAGTGGGAAAGAGTGTGGGTACTGAGTGTGAGTGTGAGGACAGTGAGAACAAGTGCTGGCTACTGAGTGTGAGTGTGAGTGTGAGTGTGAGGACAGTGGGAAAGAGTGTGGGTACTGAGTGTGAGTGTGAGGACAGTGAGAACAAGTGCTGGGTACTGAGTGTGAGGACAGTGAGAATGAGTGTGAGCACTGAGTGTGAAGACAGTGAGGTGCAAACGCTGGCCTCATGGAGCTTCCCCATTGCTGAGTTCTGCACCACAGTCCAGGCCCAAACACAGCCAGGAACAAGACCCCCCAGCACCCCCCAAGCCTGGGACACCCATCCATCCTCGCACCAGCCCAGTGGGCACCGACCTGCAGGAGGGCGTCAGGAGGGACTTCATCCATCGGAAAAAGCTGAAGTTTGAGGCGGATCCTGTAAGGAAGAATGGGCATAGATAGGCTTTGAGGATTTTTCACAACAACTTGAACCCAAGCTTCACAGGGGCTTCACCCCTTAACACACTCACACACACCTTTCATGTGTGTGCACATACACAGAAGGAGCACACTTTCCCACTCAAACCAAAGAGTGCTCACTGTCACACAGCCTGGCAGCAGGCTGCCTCATGCTCATGGACAGTTCCCAAAAACTCATTTCTAAGCTCCAGATCCCTTCGGAGGAGACTGGGTGGAGCCTGGTGTAAAGAAAGGGGAAGGACACTTGCTGTTTCTGCCTTATGAAATAAAACACATTTTCCCAATGTGTGTGTTGAATGCATCCCTCCACTAGGACCACATACTCTGAGAAAGAGAACATGGCTTTTTTGTCCTCATAACTTCGTAGAATCTGGCACTTAGGAAGTTTCTAACAGGTGTTAAGTGTACAACACAGCTCAGTATGCAGAAATGTTTGAAGTGAGGTGTTTATTTTTAAATTAGTCAAATAACTTTTGTGTATGACACACTGATCTGAGTAAAGTTCAACCTTAAATATACATATGGAGTGAAATATATAGTTACATAACATATATCATGTATCTTTATTATACACATATAACACACTATGTATGTTTATGTATAAAATATATTTATATTATTACTTACAATATAAATATATTATTTCATATAATTATACATTCTAAATTATATATTAAATAATATTTAATTATCATGTTAATATTACTATAGTATATAATATATGAGCATATATTTATAAATATATAACATATTTGTGTGGTTATATAATAATTATATACTATATTATTATATTACATATAATACATGTTATATACTATACATTATATATGTGTACTATTAAATATATATTGAATTTCAGGCCAGTACAGGCTGCCAAGAGAGACCCCATCTCAATCAAACAAATAATAACACCTTATCTAGGCTGGCTGTGGTGGTAAACACCTCTAGTCCCAGTACTGGGAGGTAGAGGCAGGCAGATTTCTATGATTTGGAGAGTAACCTAGTCTACATAGACAACTCTAGGCCAGACTGGGTTACATAGTAAGGTCTTGTCTAAAAAAAACAAAATCCCTTTGTTGATGATTTGTCTTGGTCACCTTTCTGTTGTTGGCATAAAATACTATGCCCAAGACAACTTACAGAAGGAAGGATTTATTTGGGCCTATGGTTCCAGGGAGTTAGAGTCTGTCACCATTACCATAGGAAAACATTTCAGGGTCTCTGGAACAGCAAGCTGAGTGCTGCTCACATCTTAAACCGCAATCAGGAAGCCAGGAAATCAAACCAGGACCAGCATGTGCCTTTAAAACCTTGTGTGGTTTCTGAAACCTCAGAGCATATGCCTAGTGGCATATTTCCCCCAGTAAGGCTACATCTCCTAAGGCTACTGGAACAGCACCACCAGGTGGGACCATGTATTCAGATGCCCAAGACTATGAGGGACATTTCCTTCAAACCAACACAACCTTGGCATGATAAGTTATATACAACCCACCTCCAAGACAGGGGTTCACTCTAGTCCAGGCTGGCCTTGAACTTAAAGGTCTTCCTTTCTCTGCATTCCAAGTGCTAGAAGTATAGGCACACACCACCCTGTCCAGCTCAAATTATGTATGACTTTGGAAAATTAATCAAGCATAATTTTAGAAAAGGCATTCCTCAATTACATGAACAGATATAGTTGAAATAGACTAGTGAGATCATGTTTAATACATGCTCAAGAAATCAGCAGTGTCTTAAGATGCTTATGTTACAATCTTGTCTTGGTATCTTGTAGAGTTCCTGGGGTAAAGCAGAGCGAACATTATAGATCTGCAATAGTATATGCAATCGCAGAGAAAAGAATCCTAATGAATTCAGGTGATCAATATGTATTCTATAAAAAGATACAAAATAAAAGTTATTAATTATCCTTCTTATATGTGATCATTTAAATTCTAAATTATCTAAATTATAGATACTGGCCTGAAATTTTATTTCATACTTTCCTGTGACTGGATTTCTGGGAAAATATTTAGATTTCCTAAGATGAAGCAATCATTGATGTAATCATTATGTTAATTAAAATACATTCTATCTGTAAAATTAGATGATATAGGACCTCTTCATAGCATTACTGTTTTTCTAAGACATTATTTTTAGTACATGTTTTCATTCTAAATTTCTGTAAAAATATATATACCAAATTACTGAAATTCTGGAGATCTTTTTTTTTTTTTCAGTATGTCTAGATTGTTCTTGCCCATCTGATTTAGTTAGGACTTGATAGTAATTACTTTTTGTTTTTGAGACAGGTTGTTACTGTGTAGCTCTATCTGGCCAAGAACTCACTATGTAGACTAGACTGACCCTGAACTCATAGAGATCTACCTATCTCTGCCTCCTGGGTGTTCCACACCTGGTAATATTAATTGCTTTATTTTAAATTGGAGCATCATAGAGTTTTCTGGAAAGCGCCCCCCCCCAGTGTGTGTGTGTGTGTGTGTGTGTGTGTGTGTGTGTGTGTGTTGCCAGGGATAAACTCAGAACCTTGGGCTTGGGCATACTGTGCCAGCACTCCATCTCTGAGTTACATTCGTAACCTCCACCTCATTTTTTAAAAATTATTATTTTTAAATTTTTAACTGTCTATGTGTGTGGGTATGTTCATATTTCTGGCTAGGAGAGGACACTGAATCCCCCTGGAACTAGAGTTGTAGGAGGTTGTGAACTACCCCATGTGGGTTCTGGGAGATGAATTTGAGTCCTCTGCAAGCACTGAAGGTGCTTTAAACTGCCAGGCCATCTCCCTAGTCTCCCTTCAATGTATCTTTTAAAAAATATGTTTTTATTAATTGAGAGTTTCATACAATGAATTTTTATCATTTCACTATTCTGTCTCTCCCTACCCACTAGACTTCCAATTTTCTTCTTTAAACCCATTAAGTTCTTTTTGTTTTTTTACATTTTTATTTGAATTAAAAACAAGATTGTTTTACACGACAATCCCAGTTCCCTTCCCCCTCCCTTCCTCCTTACCTCCCCCCCCCCCAACTCAAACCCTACCTATCACATATCCTTTCTGCGCCTGAGGGAGGGTGAGGCCTTCCATAGGGGGTCATCAGAGTCTATCATATCTTTTGGGACAAGGCCTAGGCCCACGCCCGTGTGTCTTAGCTAAGGCAGTATCCCTCTATGTGGAATGGGCTCCCAAAGTCCT